AGCTTCCAGACGATGCGTTCAAGCTTCCAGACACTGCGTTTGAATGCAGAATTCACGTTAGAACACGGGCCTGCGTTTGACTCGTTCAAACACGAGTTGAACGGTTCCAGAAACCGTTTTCTCCCTATGATCTGAGGGATTTTCGCCCCCACTTAGGAGCGGATTAAGGGGGCAGTTACATCCCATTAGCCCCACAAAGGAGCAAATTAAGGGGGCGGTTACACCCCTTAATCCCTTATAAATAACTAAGAAATCAGCTTAGTTCAGATCCTGGACCTGAAGCTCGGATCCTGCTCCTTGGCAGCAAAGAAGAAATCATTGGCTTGTCTAACCAATTACGGTTAAGATCAATCAACTCGTACAAAGTTTCCAACTTGCCACGCAAGTTCTCCACAACGTCAAATCGTGAGGAGAAGACATCGTTCCAGTGAATCAAGACGTTCAGATCGTCAACGGAAAGCAAACTCGACGCGAGCATTCGAGGGAGGCACTCCATCGCCACCGTGAAGAACCCAGAATTAAACAAAGGGGAGAATCCAGATCAATTCTCTTCTTTTTTGTAATCAGGAAATCCAATTATAATTGAGATTAAAGGAATACAGATCAATTTTCCTTCATTTCTTTTTACTTCAAATTTTCCACAAACAATTTTGGTCGTTTGTGAATTGCACTCGTATTTTGTTTGGTTCTTCTCTCATCGTTCGTCGACTCGTTTGGTTCGCGAGCACGCTTCCACACAGCGCGCAACACAATATATACTTGATTCTCCAAATCCCCACAAATTTCGGTATAAAGGTTTTCTTTTAGACTGTTATTAAATCATTGAACAGGTATATAAATGCTTATATTATCTCTAACCTAGTTACACCACTATTTCAAAGATTAGCTTAAATGAATTACAAATTTCCTGCTTCTCTATAGAATTTCCTCTTCCACTCTGACCATTGACTTATCCTCCAAGAAGTTACTTGCTAACACGAGAGGGGACATAAATCAATAGCTTAGTTGTTCTTTTATTGGACGAGGAATCATTGCAGACGGCATTAATGGTAAGGTTATTAATATATAATATTTACGAACATAATTTAAGCAACTATTGATGTTAGTAGAATGACAGGAGATCGTTTAGAAAGACAGCCATTGGTTGTAGGTCACATATTGGTAGTTGGAAACTATACCAAACCCCTTTGAATTATTGAAGGAGAATTTTTTAAATCAACCATTATGAGAATTTAATTAGCAAAATTGACATTCTCCCTTAAAAATAAGCAAAATCGACCATTTTTAGTCCTCGCGGGCAGAAAACGGTCGATTTTTCTGAAGGGTTTTTTTTTAATTATACGAGACTACTAGTTCCGTATAATTAGGACATGCTAATCCATCATTTGCTAAATTTTAAAATCCGTTCTCTCACGACGAGCGGTCGATTTTGCTAAGTTTTTTTTTCTAATTAGGTCGATTTTGCTTATTAAATTTTCGAAATGGTTGATTTCCAAAAATTTGTCCATTATTGAATTAGGAAGTGGAAGGTCATCTCTTGATCACTCTCTCCTATTTGAAAAATGTATCATTTTCATCAAAAGCCAGCCTATATATTGGAGATTAAGCAGGACCCCCTTTGGCCTGTCAGCTAGCAAAATGTTTTTAGAGACGATTACAACAGTAGAGTCATCCCAATTTTTAAGGTGGGCCTGCATCGAATTTAATCATATCTCCTTGTAAAAAAAAGTTAATAGAACAGGAAAAGAAGACAAGAGAGCTGCTCAGACGTGGTGAGCGAAAGCAAAGAATATGCAGAGGGAAGATTAAAAAGATAAGATAGACATAATGTCTTCCATCAGAAAAATCCAACGTGCAGCACACCAGGATGCCAAGTACCTTTTTTAATTTCAGACACGAAACCATCCCGACTTAATTTCGAATTCTCAAAATCTCTTTTATTTTTTTTCCGGTTTGCACCAAAAACATTTTGGGGTTTTGCTAACCATTGCGCTAAAAGCAACGGGTAAAGAGGAGAGAGGTAGAGAGGGTGCGGGTGAAGAGAGAGAATGAGCGTCAAACATATGTCACTGCTCACCCTTTCTTCTTTCAATCTCTCTCTTTCTTATCCAATGGACCATCTCCAATGGCAAGGCAAATATTGCCTTTCTCTCTCCTTCCACCTCACTTTATTCTCCCTCCACATCACTTGCCTTTTCCAATTGCCTTTCAACTCCACAACAACTAGTTTTTCAAAAGTTTTTCACTTTATCTTTCCTCCACATCACTCAACCATCTTCTGACACGCGGGGCCCTTGGTGAAATTTAACCGGTAAGCAAATTTTGCCTTTTCTCCCCCTACTTTTCATTTGCCTATCCACTTGCTTAGCCATTGCACCAAATAATTGTCCCAATTGTTAGCCATTGCACTTGGTTTAGCAATGGTTAGCAAAACCCGCTTAAAACTCTTCCGAATATATTAGCCTCGTAGCTTGACTATGCTGTAGAATATGATGCACAAGTTCAAGGAAACACTAAGAAAAATGTCGAACTTTTTACTCCGCAAATTTTCTAAGATAATAAGGACGGCGCAAGAAAATATGACTTTTGTACCCTCCATTACTTTAATAACTACTTACCAAATTTATCTGCGGTCCTCATCTCTTCATTAATTATAATCCTACTGTCTCTTCCTAAATGATGTATTTAGACTTTAGGAGTTTAGGGCCCTTCACTTCTTCAAATCAACAACGTTAATAAATTATGAGAGTCCAGGGCATCATCCACAAACAGGCGATGTGAAGTTAGGCGGAAGGCATGAGGATATCGAATAATAAAAAGGCTGTTCGTACGATTCTCGTCACGATTGAGCTGGGGGCGAATGCGTCGGTCGATGATCGATGGAATCCCCTTGCGTTTAAAAAAAATAAACGATCCTGTTCGATGAAAACATTATTAAGTCAGCTGATCGATCAAAAGCTTGTTTAATGATCGAGAATTTTGCAGGCCCTTCGGTGCTTAATGTTAGGAATTTTAATGCCTAAATCCCTAATTGCAACAGAAACGCAGAATAGAAAAGTACACCAAGATTTAACGAGGTTCGGCAACTGCCTACGTCCTCGGGAGCCACACAGATAATTTCTTATTAATTAAACAAACGCCTAAACCCCTAATGGCAACAGAAACGCAGAATAGAAAAGTACACCAAGATTTAACGAGGTTCGGCAACTGCCTACGTCCTCGGGAGCCACACAGATAATTTCTTATTAATTAAACAAGAAATTACAATTTAGGAGCGTATCTCAAAACTGAGATTTCTCAGATAAACACTGTAGCTACAGTGTTAATAATCAAAGGGTATGAACCCTTTCAATTCTCACTTGAGAATAAATGAATAACCCACAATAAAAAAACCCTTCTTTAATTTTCTCTCTCTCTCTTCTTAAATCCCCTCAACTACTGTTGAAGATTGGGATTAAATTAAATCCCCTCTCTCTCTCTCAAAATCGCGTTGAGAGCTGGAGAAAAATCGCCTCTGCGATTTTAGGGCAGCCGCCGCCACCAGAGAAGGAGAAATCGGAGGAGAGGGGGAAGTTCTTCAGCTGCTAAACCCTAGGGCATGGGGTCTCTTTTATAGGCGGAGGTGGAGGGCTGGCGACAGCCTGTCGCCAGCGACTGCTTCGACGCCAAATTCGAGGCCGAACGCAGAGGTGGGAGCGCTCGAACGCAAAGGACGCCATCGCCAAACGCAGGGTTGCGTTCGAACGCAGAGTTGGGTGGGGGCGCTCGCACGTGGGGCTCGAGCTCGAACGCAGAGCTCGGGGGGGCGCTGCCGAAGATAGCCTGGACCTCACCTGTGGCTTCGCCTCGTCGACATCGAGCTCGTCGGAGCTCCTCGCCGGTGCAGAGGTTGGTATCCACCCCCAAATTAACACTTAATTAACACCGAAAGCGACCAAGCACCACGCAAATCGACCCCACCGAAATAAATAAAATGAAAATAATTGTTTTACATGATGCGCGAGCCTCCGTCCGCTCCCCACACCTACCCACGCCTCCACTCATCCACCTAACAGAAAATAGTTGCGCGCATGACCGCGTTCAGTTACAACCAATTGTCGCTTGTTTCTGATGGCGCCTGTATGTCCTAAAGTTCTTATATTCGCAACCTTTGGTTACGCAATTGCTATCATGTTAACGCTCTTGTTGTTAAACCTATTCGAATTCTATTTTGAATCTATAATAATTCCATTTAAGAATAGATTGAAAGACATTTAATAGCGAGTTCAATAAATATTAAAGGTGAAACACGCTGTTAATTAGCATGTTAATATTGAGGAAGAAGAAAATTTTGATTTAAACCCATTCCCACTTTTTATTTTAAAAACCGACCGACTCCCTTTTTATTTACAGGGATCGACCCACTTCTCGGTCACGTCAGCAACGTGGCCGCGAAGCGGGTCGATTTTTTTTTAATCTCGTCGCTAAATAGTCGGGGGTTGCCAACCCCGATTATTTTTACAGTAGCAAAATTAGTCGGGATTGCCAACCCCGACTATTTAGCGACGAGATTAAAAAAAAATCGACCGGCTTCACGACCACGTTGCTGACATGACCGAGAAGTGGGTCGATCCCTGGAAATAAAAAGAGAGTCGGTCGGTTTTTAAAAAAAAGTTAGATTGGGTTTAAAACAAAAATTTCTTCAATTGAGGAAATATAAGGTATTTAGTAGATAATAAACAGCTATAGTACGGTATAAAAGTAGTTACCCATCCCCGATTAAATAATAAAAGTTGAACAGTTTTTCAGATCATGCTAGGGCCATATTGAGCCCATTTTGTGCTAAAAGTATATATGTTTTGTTTTATGTTAGACTAAATAGCATTTAGGTGGCGTTTGGTTGTTTGCAACTGAGTTGCAATGCAAGTGTCACTTGCATGCAACTGAGACGTTGCAACTCTTCTTACATGCAACTACAGTTGTAATTGTTTGGTTTAAAATTTAAATTTTGCAACTTATAGTTGCAGCTGTTTGATTATGCTTATAACTTAACATATGCAACTCATAAAATATTTTTCAAAAATAATTTTTTTAAAAATAATATATTTTAAAAAAATAATATATTTTAAAAAAATAATATATTTTAAAAAAATAATATATTTTTAAAAAATAATATATTTTTTAAAAGTAATATATTTTAAAAAAATAATTTATTTTAAAAAAATAATTTTTTAAAAAAAATAATTTTTTTAAAAAAATAATTTTTTAAAAAATATATTGTTCAAGAAAATATATTCTTTTTAATATCATAATATATTGTTAAGAAAATTATATATTATTTTAAATAATATTGATTCAAAAAAATTAGTATTTTTTAAATATATATTTTAAAAAAAAATAGATTATTTAGCAAGAATAATATTGTTTTAATATATGTTATTAAATATATATTTATCTTTAAAAATATATTATTTTAAAAAATATTTTATTTTACGAAAAGATTATATCTATTTTAAAAATATATTAAATTTAGAAAAATTAATATATTTAAAAAATATATATTTTAGAAAATTATATATTATTTTTAAAAAAATATATTTTTAAAAATATATATTATTTTTAAAATATATTATTTAGAGAAATTATATTATTAAATATTATTATTCAAAAAATATATTATTTCAAAAATATATTATTAAAAAATATATTATGTTAGAAATAATAGTAATTCCTGGAAAATTTATTCACAAAAATGTATATTATTTTAGAAAAAAATATATTATCCAAAAAATATATTATTTAAAAAAATTATATTTTTAAAAAATATTTTTTTTAAAAATATATTATTTTAAAAATATGTTATTTTTAAAAATAATATATTATTTTAAAGAAAATATATTACTTTAAAAACTAACATACTATTTTGAAGAAATTATTATAATAATAATTATTTTAAAAGATTAATGTTGTTTTTAAAAAAAAAACGTTTTTGAAGAAATTATTATAATTAGAATTATTTAAAAGATTATTTTAAACCTTTAATGAATTTATTTTTGAAATATTAAATAATGATTTTGATTTTAATAAATTTAGGTCAGTTGCAACTAAGTTGCAACTATGACTTGCGATCATTTTTGACGTAATTCATATGTTGTAACTAAGGGTTGTTTTGCAACTGTGGTTGCAACTGCAACTGTGAGTTGCAGCAAAACAAACACATGCAACTGGTCAAATTGGACCTAGTTGCATGCAACTGGAGTTGCAACTACTCCAGTTGTAGCCTACCAAACAGCCCCTTAAATACCTTATAGTTGCACTGGCTTTGTACTCATACACTACCTTTTGTTTTACAGTATTTGTGTTATAGCCGATTTAGTGATGGAACATAATATCTAATCAATGGCAGATAAATGTCTCACATTATGCATAATCAAGTCAGCATCTTAAGATAATCAGAGGTCCAACTCGATCGACTCGACACGGCAACATCTTGCAAGGACGATTCCAAAGACGTCACATACTGACGACTAGAAAGACATCAGTTGACGACCCAAAATGCATTATGTGTCGTCCCCAAGTTAAGCCGACAGCTTAATCACTCCATTCGGCCGACTAATCAGTCGACATCATGCGAGGGCGATTCAAAAGGTGATACTTCTCGACCATCCAATGAGGAGAAAGACGACGAAACGCCTCGAACGTTGAGCCCCCTCCCATGCACTAGTGACCAATCACCTCACAATAAATGCCATTAAATGCATTATGCACGCATCATTCTTGTACCCCACTAGTATTTATGTCATATTAGACCACATCGGCACCGTACCACACACCCATCACTTCACATAAAATACCGAAGTGACCTATTCCCCACTCGTCGGCCAACACTAGTAAAGCTGGGGCTAACGTGGCCGCCATCCCATACTCGGCCGAAGTTATCATTCTACCATCCTCCCACTATTATAAATAAGGTACTATTTTTAATAACGGGGTAAGATTTTCGCTACTACTATCCGTGCTTAAGAACTACTACAGTCCATTTTACTTCTTCGCTCAAGCAACTCACTGACTTGATCGTCGGAGGAACAACCGGGGAGCCCAACCCCACCCTCTTACGATCTGCTACTTAGGGAAGAACAACTTACTCAAGAACTAGACATTCGGAGAGTTAGAGGACCTTCGTCAACTTAATCACTCCCCTCATTTGACTGTTTGATTTCATATTTTAACAATTTGTATATCTTAAAGTTCTTCATGTTTAAATTCAGCACTTTAGTACTATTTATTACGTAAATTTGGTAAGTTATTATCCAAATAGTCTTGTATGTCACTCACGTGTTGATTAATTTTAAGTATCAATGAGAATATTCAGTTGATATTTATCATATCTGCATATTTTAGAATATTAACGTGCTAATTTTAAACAATTTATAAAGTATTTAAGTGATATTTAGCCTTTATCTTGTACAGATGGTGTTTCCCTCTCAAAAGTTTTTCGTTTCTTCCTATTCATCTAATCGACTTAACAACATCAAATTGAGTAAATATGTGCCAAAAATTATGAGCTAACTCATACTTTATTCTTCCTAAAAGGCTCTATCTAATCTAGCCTTTCATGAAAAATTAAAAAAAAATATAACTACCTTGTCCAATAATCAATGTTAATCATACACTTGAACGTGCACATTTACCAAGCGTATGCAAAACTGTATTATGCCAAAATAATAATAATAATTTTTATTTTCCACGTTGCGGAATAATTAAAGTAGAGAAGAATAGCAGACATCCTCTTTTCCGCTCTCATCATTTGAGCAGGGCAGCGAGAAGGAAGAAAGAGGACGCCTGCCGTCCGTTACCAGTCCGCTCGCGCGTGGATATCGCTCTCAGTAGCCCTTGCCCTTTCCTCCAAACTCATCCCGATATCCCGTCGTGTCTCCTCCAAAGAAAAGAAAGAAAAAGAAAGAAAAAAATCCACCCAAATCGAAAAAACCGCAAGGCTTCCGATGGATTCGACGAAGATGGCGACGCCCGATCCCTCGCCTCCCGCCATACTTCAGCAGCCCCCATCCGGCCGAGACGCCGCCTCTCTCCTCCCCCCGCCAAAAACCGATCAGCCTCAGACTCCGCCTCTACCGCGCTCGTCGACAGCTAGCCGCCGGCAGCCGATCCCTCCTCCTACCCTAACTACAGGCTCACCAAACGCCCCTCCCCCACGTTGATCACCACCACCATCGCTAAACCTCCTCCGCAGGAGATCAGATTCCCCCAGCCCTCTCCCTGCCTCATCGCCACCGTCGTCGTCGCGACCGCCGTGCCCGCACCTCCAGCTCGTCTTCTTTTCTCCTGCCGATGGCGCGCTCGGATACCTTGACCGCGCGATGTCCAGTTCGGCGGGGCCCCGGAACCCTACCGGAGTTCCACCGGCCACCGGCGAGGCCGCGGAACTTTAAAGTCCCCGTTCGCCGCCGCTTATGCACCCGACGCCCACCCGGCGCTCGACGCCTGGCGCATCCTCTCCGCTGAACTCAATTTTGGGCCTTCCTTCTTGAGGACGATCGCGTGACGAGCACGGCAGATTGGACGGGTAGACGCCGCCTCTCTCCTCCCCGCCGCCAAAAACACAGCCTCGACTCCTCCTCCCCGCTCGTCGACAGCCCTCGCGCGGCAGCCGATCCCTCTCCTACCCTAACTACAGCTACCAAACGCCCTCCCCCACTTATCACCACCACCACTCGTCCTCCTCCGAGGAGATCAGATTCCCCCACCCTCTCCCTCCTCATCGCCACCTCGTCGCCGCCGCCGTCCCCGCAACCCCAGCTCGTCTCTTTTCTCCTCCGATGGCGCGCCGATGACCTTGGACGCGCGCGATGTCCGAGTTCGGCGGGCCCCGGAACCCTACCGGAGTTCACCGGCACCGGCGGAGGCGCGGAACTTTAAAGTCCCGTTCGCGCCGCTATGCACCCGACGCCCACCGGCGCTTCGAGCTCGCGGCCATCCTCTCCGCGAGACTCAATTGGCTCCTTCTTGAGGACATCGCAGTGACGGTGAGCAGCGGCAGATTTGGGCGGGGGTGGAGTCGGGGCTGAGGGTCTGGAACTTGTCGGAGGTGTTTGATTCTTGGGATGGGGGTGTTGGAGTGAAGAGAGGGGATGAGGAGAGCGCGCCGTTTGTGGAGAGCGGGAAGACCAGCCCGACGCTGTGTCTGGTGGTGGACGAGGCGACGGGGGTTGTGTGGAGCGGGCATAAGGATGGGAAGATACGGTCGTGGAAGATTGATAAGGATGCGGCGAAGAATGGGGGTGATGGTGGTCTTGTTGAGGGTGATGATGGTGAAAGTTACCATTTTAAGGAAGGGCTCGCTTGGCAGGCTCATCGGAACCCGGTGCTCTGCATGGCCATCAGTCCTTATGGTACATTTTCTTTTCATATCTTGAAAAAAATTTGAAGATTTATATGGCTTTCGTCAAAGTTAAGATACCATAGTTGCCAAACACTTTATATGTGAGTGGGACACTCTGTATTAGTTCTTGTGGTACATTTTCTCACCTTTGTGCTGTAGAAATTTATTCTTTTTTCATATCTTGATGACCACATTTGGAGATTTCTGTGCCTTGATTGCCAACGTTAAGATATCAATTAATACGTGAAGTTGATACCTTAATTATCAAACACTCTATATGTGAGAGAGACCGTACTCTTATTCAGGAAGGAAAACTGCCTTGATGAATGGAGAAGTTATGGAGTACGATTGATGACAATTATAAGACAATATTAGGTTTTTGTTACCGTTGTGAAACTTGTTAGAAATGTAGCAAATGCTCGGATACTGATATTTCAACAATGTGGTGGCAATATTTGTGCAAGTTTTTGAGAAATGAATAAATGTAGCATAATGGGTTGCCATGTCGTAGAAGGAAAACTTCTATATTGTACGTAAAAGTAAAATTGAGACGGTTTATTTTAAATTGATCAGTCACACACACACACATATGGAGATTTTATAAAAAGTAGTTCTTGAGAGAATACTAGCTATGCATCTCAATGTATATTAAATATTAGCAAGAAGTTGGCGATAAACATGTATTTGCATCAAATTTTGTTCTAAACCTGTTTCAGGTTTAGTGTACTCTTTAAAGTTCAGATAGGTACTTCTAACCCTTAGCTCCCTGTTTGTTTTACCATTGGTTATCTTCAGGTGATATCTGGTCAGGCTCTGAAGGTGGAGGAATCAAGATATGGCCTTGGGAATCCATTGACAAGTCCCTATCTCTATCACTTGAAGAGAGACATATGGCTGCCTTATTAGTTGAGAGATCATATATTGACCTTAGGAGCAACTGCACTGTCAATGGTGTTTGTGCCTTACCTCCTTCAGATATAAGACATTTGTTATCTGATACTGCTAGATCCAAAATGTGGAGTGCTTCTAGCCTATCATTTGCTCTTTGGTATGTGTTTCATCGTGCTCTTTTGTCTGTTTATTTTTAAGATAAAAGTTGCCTCGTAGGAGGGATTAATCATACCATCTTCTATACATTATCTTGGTTTAAATCTGTGATTTTGCTTCTCATGTCACATAGGGATGCTCGTAAAAGGGAGCTGCTCAAAGTGTTTGGCATAGATGGACAGGTTGATACCCGGCTAATGGAAGCATCAACAAATCAGGATCCTCGTGTAGATGATGAAATCAAAGAAAAGTTTGTTTCATCAAAAAGGAAGGAAAAATCTCAAGTTAGCTTTCTCCAACGCTCCCGGAATGCCTTGCTGGGTGCTGCTGATGCTGTTCGAAGAGTTGCAGCAAAGGGAACATTTGGAGAAGATAATCGGAGGATTGAAGCATTAGGAATAGCTAAGGATGGAACGGTTTGGTCTGGATGCAGTAATGGCACTCTGATTCAGTGGGATGGGAATGGGACTCGATTAAATGAGATTCAACACCATGCACATGCAGTTAAGACCATTTGTACCTTTGGGACACGCTTGTGGGTCGGTTATGTAAGTGGGACTATTCATGTGATGGATCTTGAAGGCAATTTGCTTGGTAGTTGGGTTGCACATAGTAGTCCATTAATAAAGATGGCTGTTGGAGGTTCATATATATTTACACTGGCTAATCATGGTGGTATTCGTGGATGGAACCTAGCATCACCAGGGCCCATTGATAATATTTTGCTATCGGAACTGACAAATAAAGAGCTATCATACACAAAACAGGAGAATCTGAAAATCTTGTGTGGTACTTGGAATGTTGGCCAAGCAAGAGCATCACATGATTCTCTTATATCATGGATAGGTACCCCGGCAACAGAGGTTGGATTGGTGGTTGTTGGGCTCCAGGAGGTGGAAATGGGTGCTGGTTTTCTTGCAATGGCTGCAGCAAAAGAAACTGTGAGATATTTTTTCACTGTCTTTAATTTACAAATTTGTAATGCTTTTTGTAGTAACGTAAGTCTTGCCCTCTCCAGAAAATTTAGCATAATTTAATACAAATATAGCTCTCAATTATAGGTCTTATTCATGCTCTCATCTTTTCCGGTTTATGAATCCCACTTTGTGATTGTTCTTACAGGGTGAGTCCAAATTTGTCCTTCAAATGTTCACTGTACCTTTTGCTGAGCCCCATCAATCTACTATTTTAACATCTATAGTATGAAAAGGAAGAAACTTCTTACCTTCCAGACACAATTCGTTTTCAATCTTATCTAGTTTAGCTTTAGTA